CTGACAAACCAACAGCAGGAGGACAGGCTGCTGTTATGAGTGAATAGGAAGAGAAGGAAGGCTGATCCGTAGTTAAGAGAAGTTCAAAGGTGGGCCTAAATTCTATATGGTACCTGAGAGAGACAGAGACAAGAGTAGCTGCTTTGGCTCATGTTGACTTTCTGATTCCCAGTCCCCGGGGGGCTGGGATGTATTTGGTGAGATTTTCCTGCATCTTTTCAATTATCCTATATAATAAAAGCCTACTATGCAAATTGTCCCCTCGGGTGGTCATTGGACTGGAGACCGGGAATTCAACCACTCGCTATGACAGGCGCTGACCACCAGGGGGTGATGTGGAACATGGTGGGCAGTGGCAACCTGGAGCTGGCTGCTGGCAGTGGGTGGCAGTGGAGGCACTGCTGGCCCTGATGGGTCCCAATGAGTGCAGAACCGTGGTGGGATGGTGGAGCAGGTGAGCAGGAGGTGCCAGGCCAAGGTGGGTATGAGTGGGGCCCAATTTCCCCGCTGATCACCCCACAGATGGCGACTATAGTGACAGCAGTGTGGGGGGAGGGGGCGCACCACCTGGCTCCCAGGCACTGATGGAGTCAGGCAGGGGGCCAGCCCCAATCAATCCGGCCCCAATCAATCACCCACAGGCTAGATGGTGGAGCAGGTGAGGGGGCAGCACCAGGCCAAGGCGGAGTGCGCGGTGGGACTGTGAGGGTTTGGGGCTTTGAGGCTGGGGGCACGAGCTGGGCCCGATCTCCTCAGGCCACCCCGAGAATTCGTGCACTGGGCTCCTAGTCTTCAATAATCTTTTCAATAATGAGCAAGTCTGAGTGGCTATCCGTCCAGGGCTTAGTTTTCTTGCCTGTACAATTTCTCACCTGATGGGCCAGCAAAGCCCAAAATTCCATGCTAGCACAATGCCTTTATCTTTGATCCTATAGCTATGTGCTCTCCCAGGACGTTAAGAACTCCCACTGTTATCACACTGGTGCCAGGGAAAAAGCAAAGACTCAGAGAAGGAAAGCTGAGGCAGGAAAACAATGAGCATCTGTTGACTCATATCCCCACATCCTCCCTTGGCCCCTAGTCCTGAGAAAGAAACAATCTTGGAACGTAGCTTTCGCTCAGCACAGGAATCAGACAACTGGGGCCTTGCCACCACCCCTCTGCCAGAACTCAGGCCAGATTATGCCTGCTGGAAGGTGAAGCCAATGTGGCCTTTGAGGCATAAGAATGTCCTAGAAAGGAAGCGTCTCAGGGACCCCTGTTTATGTCCAGCGGGAAGGGGCTTCCAAAGACGAGAGAACAATGGTGGACGCCTGCCCTGCTGGTTGGCAAAGCTAACAAAGCCGCTGAATCACTCTGCTCGATTTGTCCCCGTTGATCAACGGAGAAAAACAGTCCTTCCCTGGCTGGGCCCCAGGCACGCTGCTTGATTCAAAAATGTCTTTCCTGACGCGGGGCTTGCTCTGGCTCTTTGACTTCTGTCCGCCATAAGAATAGGCTTGATCTCAGGGCTGAGTATACACCCTCCTCCTCTAATCCTCTTGGCTATTGCTTATCCCCAAGTTCAAAGAAACAACTAACAACATGAATTTCCACTCCCTATGGGCACCACGCTGGAAGGAGGGACACAGGGGCATCCTTCCGCAATGACATTCCAGGATCCTGGTGGTCCTCTCATCCAGCCCTTGTCTTTCCCTGACCAGCAGCATCAGCAACTCAGGGAGGAGCCTACCCAGGATCGGCCCACTCTCACCCTCCGCCCACATCCTCTGTCGAGGGGAGAGATCTCAGCTATTGAACTCTAGGGAAATGGACAACCGTGCAGCCCGTTACTTTAGCCATGAAATAAATGGTCAAAGTATCTTCTACTTCATGGGTTCTTTCCATGTTGCAGTAAAATGATACATGCAAAGTGCATGGCCCAAAACCTGTTTTTTACTGTTTACTAACTCTCGATTATCTTCCAGGCACATCTCTCTTTAGGCCAATAAGATGACAGAGCACTGGCACAACCACACCTCCAAAATGCTTGGCAGCTAATATCCCAGGCAGAGGGCTCTGATGAGCAGGTAAACAGAGGTGGCTGGATCCGTCTATGGACATTCTAGTCAAGGGACTTCCAGCCCAGCCAGAAGGGGGCACAGGCAGAGTCCTGGCTCCCAGTGGCAAGGCCAGGCCCTGGGGAGCGAGACTGGTGCTAACTGGGACTGCTGCCCCAGCAATTCAAGTGGAAATGCCTCAACACACCCACCGGGTCCCAAGGTCAAAGGCGTCACAATGGGGTCTTTGTTCCCGAGTTCAAAAGCCTTACTCACCCCTCCTTCCAAAACCAGCCTGCAGGATGCACAACACACCTCCTCTCTCCCATCATCAGCCGCTCAGCTCCCTTGATCTGGGAAACCACCCACCAGAGGGTCAGTAGCTTGGCCCTCTTCCTTTCTCCCCTTCACCCACTCAGCTTCTCTGGTGAAGCTGGTCTACAGTCCAGGCTGCCTGGCTTTCTTCCCCCCCCCCCCCCCATCCTCACCCAAGGATATGCTTTCACTGATTTTTAGGAAGAGAAAGGAAGGCGGGGTGGGGTGGGGTGGGGGGATGACATGGATTGGTTGCCTCCCGTATGCGTCCTGACGGAGAATCAAACCCACAACCTAGACATGTGCCCTGACAGGAAATGGAACCCACAACCTCTTGGTGTATGGGATGATGCTCCAACCAACTGAGCCATCCTGCCAGGGCCAGGCCTCCTGGTTTTATGGCAACAGAGAGTGTGGGTTTACATGGTAAACACAGCACGGCAAGGCCCCTGTGTAAACATCGGCTGCTGAGCAGCTGTCTCCGCCAAGGAAAAGGCACAGAGGAGTGGAAAAGCCGCATTTCGGAGGGCTCTCCCACCTGACACCCAGGGCCCATGGGAGGCTCCCAGCCACGGAGTTCAGACATGGGAGAGGGCTCAGGAAGCTCATCTCCTCTAGGCCATGGCCCCATGCAGTCACCAGATTATGTCCAATGTACAGAAGAGACAACTGAGGCCCAGAGGGATTAAGGGACTTGAAGCTACCCAGCCAGGAGTCAGTGGTGGGCTTCCAGGGACAGCAGCTCCCTCAGAGGGTCTGTGTGCCAGACTCGGCTGCTCTAGGGAGTCAGGCGGCCTGAGCCCCCTCACACAGCCATCTGCACCCCTGAGAAGAGGAGGTGCCTCTAGGCCTTCCCAGGTCTAACACAGAACCCCCACTTGGTCAAGGCCCTTCCTTCTCCTCTCCTAGGCAGGACTCCCTGGAGTTCCGGGGTCCCAGATGGGATGGGAAGGCAGAGGACACCATCCCTGAGAACCAGGGAGTCCTGGGCAGCAGCTGGTACCCACTCCTCCTGCTGCTCCAAGGCAGCGGGGTGGCAGAAGGGTCCCTAAGCCAGAACTCGACGTCTGAGCAGACCTGACCTTATACGGAGAAATGGGCCTGCCTTTCTCTGGAGTAGCAAGCTCCAAAACAAACATCTCTCCCCCCAGCTGTTGTCTCTAGTTCCACCAGCAGAGATCCCCTGCGTGGGGTGCAGAGGGTTCCCAGGGCCAAGGCAGCTTCCTGGAGGTAGGACTGGCACCAGAACAAAGGCTGAAGGCAACGCTGGGCAGGAGGACCCCTGTGCGCCCATGGGGTGAGGCCCCCGGCCTTACACTCAGGATGTGGCTCTGCCGAGGGGGCCATGGCTGCCATCTGCCTTGGAGGTGACTCCAGGCACAAAGGCAGAGCCTGAGGTCTCTGACAGGGAAACAGGCATCGAAAACCCCAAACCCGGGAGGGTCATGGGTCAGGCCTACGCTGGCATCACAGCCTAAGCTCACCTCCCCCAGGAGGTCTGCTGGGATTTCCTTAGCATCTCCACAGCGACTTGCTGCCCACCAGCATAGAAACCAGGGGCCCAGGCACACGCCTGTTCTGTTCTGCTTTTGACCTCAGATGACTCACTTCCCCTCAGATTTCCTGGGTGTCAGTTCATCTGTAGCATGGGCACAGTCATCCTTTGGCCTGCCTTCCCTTCAGAGCTCAGAATAGCGGGAGGGAAATGAGCAGGACAGGAAAAGGAGAACAGGCCCCGCCCCTCTGGGAGAAGCCTCCAAACACAGCCCGGAGGTGCACGGGCCTCCCCTCACAGCAAACCGAAAGCAAAACACAGCCCAGGAACCAATTCCAGTCCCGCAGGCCCCGGGCAAGCAGCTGCTCAGTGTCCCGGGCCAGAGTTGCCCCTGGTCCTGCAGGGACTGCACTCAGACTGGACTCCTCTCTCCACCTACAGAGGCTCCTGTGGCACTTGGTCCACTCGGAGAGCACCCTGGAACCAGCAGCGCCCCCCCCAACCCCCGACAGCCCACGTCAAGACAAAGCCTCAGCTCCCAGGGACAGGGCGGCTGCTGCAGGACCCTCCTGGGCCTTCCCCCTCGTCTGGGCCTTCTTCCCAGGTCCTGGCAGCCTTCAGCTCGGCAGGGGGCAGTCAGCTCACTGCCCAGACACCAGCCAACTCCCACCCCCCCACCGCACCCCCCAGGCCTGGCCTATCCTCAGACAACACACCAGGGGCTCAGGACCCTGGACTCACAGTGACATCATGGCCTGCCTTCCCCCACCCCTGCCTGGACCCTGGGGACGCTGCTGGAGGGTGCCCCTGAGCGGGGCGCTCCCTCCCCAGGGCCCTCCGAGGACACGGGGACCTGAGACGTGGGGCGGAGAGCCGTACCCACGCTGCCACGCCGGCCTTGCATTAGCACAGCCGGTTAATCACCCCGAGCGCTGGACACATTCCTCCACCACCAGGCAAACTGCTGGCCTGCGGCCCAAACCAACAGGGGAAACTTCAGCCTCTCCAGCCCGCTCCCCGCCAGATGGAAATAACGTATAGCTGCGGCGGTGGGGGAGGAGGAAGGGAACAAAACCAGCCGTCCGGTGCGTCCGAGGAGCCGCTGCCCACCCTCCCCCTCCAGTGACCGGCTGGCCGGCCGGGACACTCACCGCTCTCGTTCTTCTCGATGACATCCACCACCTCCCCGGCCTGGAGGCTCAGCTCCGAGTTCTCCTGCTTCTTATAGTTGGACACCACCACGTACTGTTCCAGGATCATGGGCTCGGCGCTGGTGTCGGCACCTGGCGAGGGCAGAAAGCACGCGGTGAGCCAGCGGCCAGCCATGGCCCCGCGGCCGGGGCGCCCCCTGTCCATCGGCCTCGGGGGAGGCTGCTCTGTCGCCAGCGCCGCTCCGGGGGGCTGCCCGCAGCCAGGGTTCGCGGCTCGCTGGGCCCCAAGGACAGGCCATATAGCAAGGCCCCGCACCGGCCCGCTGCACCGCGGGGGCCGGGGGACATGGGAGCCGGGGACGGAGGGAGGGAGGGGGCTGGAGAGGGACCGACAGAGACAGAGACAGAGATGAAGACGGAGACGGAGGCCAAGGCAACTCAGAGGGAAAGCCTGCTGCCGGATGAGTGGGTCACAGCCCGGCACGCGGGGGGCAGGGGAGAGGCCTGGGGCGGACGTGGGCTCTCCAGACCCCTCGGCAACAGGGGTGTGCGGGGAGGGCGGCGGGTGGGCGGCCCATGAGGGCTGAAGCCGGAGCGGAGGGGAGAGAGAGAGAGAGAGAGAGGGAGAGAGAGAGAGAGAAAGGCAAGGCGAGGAGGAGGGCTCCTGCCTCTCCCCCGGCCCCTGTAAACCCAGAGAAAGAGAGAGAAAGAGAGAGAGAGAAGAGAGCGAGGAGTCAGCAGTCCTCCCCTCCGGAGGGAGAGGGAGAGAGCGGGAGAGACTGGTCTCCACAGCCCGGGCCCAGGCGAGAAGTCAAGAGGGTTTGAGGCCGCCAATCACTGGGGTTTACTTGCAACCCTTAAATAGAAACACATGAGACCCATCGAATGAGGAGCCGGGGGTGGAGGCAGGGGAGGGGGAGGAGGGCCGAGACTGTTTACTTGAAACCCAAGAAGAAAGCCAGCGGCAGGCCAGCCCAGCCCGCGCCCCCCCTCCCCAATTTTTCCTTACGTTCGGCTCCACGCCTACCCCTTGGGCTCACCGGGGCGCTGCCACCAAGCCCAGGGCCCAGCACGCACGCACCAGCCTCGGGCCCGCTCTCCCAGGCCTGCTTTCAGAGGGGGCACTGGTCTGGCCAGGCCGCTGCCCACCGGCCACATGGGGACTGACTCAGTCTCCCTCGGCCTCTAAGCGCTGGGGGGTGTGGTCCAGCTCCCACAAACCTCCAGCTGCCCTCTCCTGGCAGCTCCATGGAGCTGGAGGGGGTCAGAGGTGGGGGTGCTTAGCAGGAGGGCAGGCTCCCGAGCCGCAAACAGCCTCTCTGTCCTCCTCAGCCACTTAAGCAAACGTTCATTAAGCAAACACGGAACCAGGAGGTGGGTGTGCTGCTGCCAACGCTCTGTGCTTCACTATTACCACCACCATCACTCAAAACGCCTAAGACAGCGGTCGGCAAACTGTGGCTCTCGAGCTGCGGTTTGCCGCTCCTGTTGACGAATGAGTTCGCCGACCACTGACCTAAGACATCAGGTGCCCCAAGGAGCTCAAAGGATCCACAAACCAGAGACCTACGGGGCACCTCCCGACCCCTAGCACCTGAAGCTACGTGGCCACCGCTCGGTACGGACGCCGGCCGCCTGGGGGGCTGCGGCTTCACACCGCCCCCTGCCAGGCTTCCCAGGCCCCCGTGGTGCTCCAGCCTGCAGCCTCGCTCCCTCTGTGCTCGAGTCCAACTTGCCAACGTTCTGTGCCAGGCATGTACGCCGTCCCAAGTCATCCTAACCACCACCTCCTCACCTTCCCACTTCACAAAAGACAACTCAGAGGCCCAGAGAAGCCGCGAGGCGCGTCCCCACTCACACAGCTGCTAGACAGAGCACCAAACTCACTGCTTTAGGTTCAAGCCCATTTCTCTCTCCATCACCGAACTGCCTGGTTCCTGTTTCCAGGCATCTCATTCTCCTGCACAAAGGTCCTTGGCCTGGCCTCACCAAACCACCCAGGGAGCTTGTAAGGAATACAGATGCCTGGGTCCCAACTCCAGAGGCCCAGATTTCATTGGTCTGGGGTATATATTTCAGACACCCCATCTTCCCCTGGTTCTCCTGTGCAGTCAGGAGTGAGGAGCCCTGCTTAGATCCTTGGGTCGTTTGTGGCCAAGATTCTACCCAACCTAGGGCAACAAAAGGGAAAGAAACCCACTGCCCCTGACAGTTTTCTCTCAGAATCCTGCAACTCCAGCTCAGCCCTATGGAGACCCAGAAGGCAACCCCTCCAAAGCCAGGATTGTATTTCAGGCAGAAATGCAACCAACAGCGAGGCAGCTGGGCCGGCCTGGCTCTGCTCTCAGACAGCCAGCAGGACAGAGGCAGTGCTGGCCACAGTGCTGACAGAGACCACCTCCCACCGGGCCCCGGGGGACCACAGTGCTTCTGTGGCTAAGAGCATCCATCGCAAACTCAAGATACACACACAAGAGGGGCTCCCCAGCAGCAGGTGAGCGAGCTTCCAAATCCCGAGAGCACCCGGGCCACACCCAGGATTAACCATGAGCCTCGTTAGTGCTCACACGTGGGCAGCACTGCGCCAAGTGCCAACCGCACGCATCCTCTCGCCGTCTGGTTTGATCCCCATAACAACCCTACGTGGCAGGTCTGGTTGCAGCCCCATTTCACACACAGGCAGACTGAGGCTCAGGGGAGTAAGCACTGTCCCTGAGGCCACATGGCTGGGACTGAACCCAAGCCCACCTAACACCGGGTGCTTGTGTTCTGAACGTGGGCGCCGTGCCTGGCCTCCTGAGAGACCCTGGCCCCTGGTTTCCAAGGAAAGGCCGGCCTCATCCTGTCCCGGACACCTGGCACACAGTCGGTGCTTAATAAAGACAATGATTCTTGCTGCATCTATGGAGCAGACCGCAGTGTCCACTTAGGTCGCTGGCACTCAGTAAAGCACTTGTGAAATGAATGAAATGAATGGACAGGCAAGACAGATGGACCAAGTGACTTACTGGTTTGTTTTGAGCCAAGACAGATACACCGGGCAGGGCCTCGCTTCTGACATTTGGGAAAACTAGACAACGAAACTGTGGAGGGGAGGAAAGGCACAGAGGAGCAAGGGGTTGGAAGCTGCCAGGGAGGACAAGCAGGGGTGCTGGGGAATGGAGAGACATCAGCTCATTTTCATTGGAGCCAAGGAAACCTGAGACAAGATTTCGGAGAGGGGAAAAACCTACATACCCCTTCCTTCCCCCAGTCCCTTGGAACCCTGGCCGGGGTTCCTGAAGACGGGCACTCTGGGGTGCAGGTAGGAAGGGTAAGGGAATGTTCTCCAGACATTCCAGAGCACACAAGACAGGCGGTGGCACTTCTCGAAGGCTACAGATGGACAGATAGACACACAGACACTCAGTGCTCCTGGCTACCCTCCCCTCTCTCCCCGCCCCCAGCGCATGCTGGCTCCAGCGTGCTCGCTCTGGCATCTGACTCTCAGGGTGTTGGCTGCCCAGGGATGCCCGGGTGGGCGTGAGCTGGGAGCAGGTATCCAGATGAGAAACTACTCGGCAGGCGGGCGGGCGGGTGGGTGATGTCATCTCGCAGAGGCTGGATCTCCTCCCAACACAGGCCTGGAAAGTGAGGGGCTGGAGGGGCTGGCCCCAGAAAGGAGGAGAGGGAGGCAGTGGAGGGAGACTCCTGTCTTCAGATGCAAAGGGTTTGGCAGAGACTGGGAGAAGGGGTGGGCCCTTCTGGGGAGGGGAGCCCCTCCCGGGTTGGAAGGGGGCTTTGTCAGAGTCCCATCCAGGGATGGGCCCTGTGCCCTCCCCAGAGCCCTGCCCTGCCTCACACCTGCCCTCCTCTGGCTGCCACCTGGAGGGACTGCGGGCTCCTGCCCGGGCTTGGCTGCCAAGGTAAACTTCTTAACAAGGCTTTTGCCAAGTCAACCCTCTGCTCCAGCGGGTCCCCGTGGCTTATAGGAGAAAGGCCAAACTTGAGCTTGGCCTTTAGTTTAGTCTTTCTTGACAACGTGAGCTCCCCAAGTTCCCTGACACACACCGCCCTGTTCCAGGCAACATGCACCGTTCCACACACGTGCCTGGGGCATCGCTCTGTGCCGGCCACCCTGTTCTACGCAGGTTCTTCCTCCAGGGCCTTTGCAGTAGCTGCGCCCCCACCTCCCGCCCCTCACCCCCGCATGGAATGCCCTTCTCTCAACCAACCCCAATGCTCCCCGACCATCTGCCTCCGGGAGTCGCCGGATCGCTCTCGCCGTCGTGCTTGTGCCTGTCCTGCACTGAATGTTTCGTGTGACCCTGCGGCCCAACCAGACCTCGTGCTTTAGACAAAAGTCTCTCTGCTGAGGGTAGATGCCCCAGGACGGGTGCCATACCACGTGGCACTGGACACAACAGTTACCTGAGGTTTATGACACAAAAGCATACGACTGGAGTCTCAGGGTCTGAGGCCCAGTCCTGCATTGCCCCCACTAGCTCTGTGACCCTGGGGAGGACGCTTAACCTCTCTGGGCTTTAGCTTCCTCATCGGTAAACAGGAACCGGAACAGACCTGTCTCGTGGGGCTGCTCCGAGCACAGGATAAGGTGACAGGGTTAATGCTCTATGCAAACTAAACTGTGTGGATAAAGCCAACAGAAGTGGGAAGTTCGGGGAGGAGGGGGTTAGTGTCCTCTGCAGCCTCAGGACCAGCAGGCAGCTCAGGGCAAGGGCCACAGGGCCAGGAGAAGGGTGGCCAAGGCTGTGTCCCTGCAACGCGACCCCCTCAGACTGGCCTCCTGGCAGGCGGCAGGCCCTGCAGAGCCCGATCGGAGGGGATACCAGGTGAAGCAACCCCAAAGACCTTACCTCCCACTGAGTTTTCTGACTCATCAAACACCCCAACATTCCAGATGGGGAAACCAAGGCCCACAGAGACCTGGTGACTCACGCCAAGACTCTGACCCCGGACTCCAGTCTGGCTGGTCTCACCACCCCAACCCCCAGCCCACCACAGCCTCTCTCTCTCCCAACAGCTGAGCTCATCCTAAGGAGCCAAGCCTTGTGGTGGCCCCCTGCCCCAGGCTCCCCAACCTCTCCAAGGCCCCCCCAAACCCTGGACATCCCACCAAGGTCCCTCTCGTCCCTCCCCTCACCACTGGTTCCTCCCAGCTGGACTCGGCCAGGCCGGCTTCTCCACAGGCCCTGGGGCGGCCAGGCTATACGTTTGGTGAATAAAATGTATTGTTGTGGGCCAAGTGGGCTCGGGCTCGCTGGCTCGCGGAGAGGGGAAAAAGGGACAGGAGCCCAGTGATTAGCTCAGGCCCAGGCCCGCGTCATAGGCAACGCCAGGAGGATGACTGCAAGGGGCTTGGGACAGACAAGGGGTCCTCCTGACTGCTGCCTTCTTCTGGGGCCCAGCTCACAGATGTCCACCTCCTGTTCCCGGCCCACAGCTGTGGTGGGAGGGGCTGAGCCTGGGGCGCTGACCCCTGGGGCTGGCCCAGCTCCCTCTGACCTCTGACCCGCTCGCTGCCTGTTCCACAATCTCCAAGCCTGAACCTCTGCTCTCAGGTTTGGGCTGAGAAAGCGGGGGTGGGGGTTGGGGGGTGCAGGGGACCCTCACCCTCTGCCTGCCACTATCCAGTAAGATCCAAGACTAAAGGCAAGCCGGGAACCCTGGCCCAGCTCCGCCTGGACAGACACAGGGCACAGTTCTAAGTGTCCGAGGGCCATCCTGGGCCAGGCAGCCCGAAGTGTGGAAAGCCTCCGGAGGCTCTGCACCCCTAGGGCCAGGGGCTATGACCTCCCCCAAAGTCACAGGCCTCCCCACTTCCTGCTGCAGCTCCCTGCGTTCTCCAGTGCGGACCGGTGGGAACCAGGCTTCCGCTCCAGCCTCAGGTGAGCTGCCTGGAGAGAGATGAGTAACCCTGGGCTGGCCCGTCTCACAGGGACCGCCCATTGAGCTAATTGTTGACGATGATGGTAGGGGCACTCTCAGTGTGCCAGGCTCCCCAGGAGGTGGCACTGCACCCACTTGGGATGGTCACAGAACCTCCCCCCCCAGGGCAGCACAGCCCGGGACGCAGCAGAACTGGGGTTCAAACCCACACACTCTGGGTCCAGAGTGCATCTGCTACACACGGAGCTTCCGAGGCCGGACCTGAGGCCTAACAGGGTGGAAAGGCAGGCAGAGTCTAGGCAGCGAAGGAGGCAGAGAGGATGCCGGGCGAACTGACAGAGAGCTGCTCCGTCTCGCAGGAAAGCATGCGGCAAGGGGCCGGCAGCCCTGGCTCCCACACGCGGACGCCTGAGGCGCACATGGCACACACATGCACTCGCATGCACACTGGGCAGTACCTGTGACGTCCTTTTTGGGAGACTCAGCCCAGCTGGAGAGCCACACTTCCGAGTCCCCGAGAGCAGGCGGCAGCGGGAGAAGAGAACCAGAGGAGAGAGAACCGTTAGGCAGGCAGGAGGTCCAGCGGGCGAGTGGCTGCAGGCACCCGTAGAGCAGCTGGCGGAAGGCGGGGGAGGGGAGGGGAGTGATTTCCTGGCCCTGGGCTGGCTGCTGGGCGTGGGCCGGCCGGCCGGAGTGATTGCAGAGGCAGAGGCCGGCTGGGATGGGGATAATGAGGTGTCTGCCGAAACGCAGGCATCCTTTGCAGCACAGAGAAGCCCACACAATCCTCGCTTGGATCAGGGCCCGTGGGCTGGGTTGTGACTGCCCTGGAGAAGGCAGCCCGGACCTTTGTCGTTGGCCCTGTGGGTGGCTGGCCCCGCACGGCCACGTGGCTCCAAGGATCCTCACCAGCAGCCTGAGCCGGGAATTCAGACATCAGGGTTGGGGAACCCAAGGCCAGCCTCTAGGCTGGGGCACCGCCCCACTGGCCCGGATATCTTCTCTAGCCCCAGCCCCACCCCCTGAGGAAGACAGACAGGCCCTGGCAGAACGGGAGGACGCCTCATTGTAGAGCCTCACACCTCAACTCCAATCCAGAACGGGGACCTTTAGTGACCAATAGAGATGAGGGCCCTTTTCCAGGCACAGAAACCTGGAACAACTGGTTGTTCGGTCGTTTGGTCGCTTAGGCTATTATATATATATATATGTAGATTATGAGGCAGAAAGCTCTTAGCCTAACCAATGGTGTGAACATTTCCAGCGAATCAACATGCAATCAACATGGACCGTCCACCGTGGTGCACAGCGGCTCATTTACTCCCCACAGCAACCCTCGAGGCGGGTATGCGTTTTCCACCCCATTTTACAGGGAAGGAAAATGAGTTCGGACCAGGGAAGGAACCAGCCCACATTCCCACCAGCACAGAGCGGCAGAGCCAGGCACGGAAGCAGGCCTGGGAACACTCTGGCCGGGGCTTCCTCTGCTGAGCTGTCCATCGCCGCAGGGAGCAGCAGGGGCAGTAAGGAGCGAATGTTGAGATGCACGTTGAGACACAAACCCTTACGCGCACCCTCATCCAAACATAGAGACAGAATCCTTGTACTGCCCACCAGCACCGGCCAGCACTGCTGCCTGACCCGGTAACAGCAGCAAACGTTTACACGGCATCACTGTACACCAAGCATCGTGCTGAGCACTGACATATAGAACTCATTTGTTTTTCTCCATAAACCTGCAACGACACGGTCTTCCCTGCATCTTACTGGCGGGAAAGATGAACTGGAGAGGTTAAATAACTTCCCTGAAGTCCCACAGCTGACAGTGTCCCTCTCCCGTGGGGACACGGACCTCAGGTGACCATTTGGCCGCTCACCCCTTAACCCACCTAACTCTCCCTTGGTCCTTGCTCAGCACCCGCCTTCCGAGGGCAGGCTGGCCCCCCCCACCTAGACCCGGGAAGCTTGGCTCTGCCAGTTCCTGCCGTAAGCCAACAGAGTGGGGGTCCGGTGGAGCGGTTCAGCAAGGTCTCTAGCTCTGCTCCTTTGAGGAAGTCACGCAACCTCTCTGAGCCTGCTCCCTCACTTGTAAAACTCCAGATGAAACGGTACATTGACCTTCTGGGTTGCCGTGAGGCTTAAAGGAGATCATAGGCAGGCAGTGCTCAGCATCCGGTGCCCAGGACACAGCTCCTTGCTCAGTGACCAGCCGCCACCAGCCACATCTCCCCGGAGCTTTGTTCCCTCAGCTCGGGGGCACCAGAAGCAGCACACACACTCCGGGAGCTCCCGGGACGAGACCCGGACGGTGCTCAGACCGGATGCACCAAGAAAATGCTGACACCAGGCAAACCCCAGACATCAGTTGGAGTGGGGGGTGGAGAGACTCTGGGGGGGGGGGGGGTGCACCCAGAGACAAGCTTCCTGTGGCCACAGCCTCCTACGGGGCCAGCAATGGGAAGCCTCCTGGGGCAGACAGAGCTAAGCTGGCCCTGCTTTCATACGAACTAGAGAGGTTAAATAACTTAATTTAACCTTAAAACTAGAGAGGTTAAATAAGTGGGCCTGAGACAGGCTAGATGCAGCTAGGCTTTCCGAGGCTGTGAGTGGGGTGGGCCAAGTGGGTCTGAGTTCAGAATGGGGACTTGGTTGCTGGCCGCCACAGCTTGCTGGGGCTCTCACTTCCTGTGGCCGTGCCCCAGGTGGGCTGCCCCCCAGCAAGGCCGGGCCAGGCTGGTCCCATCACCATCTGGCCCCACCCAGCCAGAGGTTACCCACATCTCTCTTCGTCTCTGCTGGCCTTATGTGGCACACCTCCCTTTTTGGTTTCTTTTGGGATCTTCCGAAGGAAACCTTTTGGGAAGTGCTAACCCCTCTCAGTGAGCCAAGGGAAATGATTTGGCCTGGGCCTGGAGAGCCCGTTCTGCCAGAATAGGAGTTGACAAACTGTTTCTGTAAAGGGCCAGAGAATCAATGTTCTGGGCTTTGTGGGCCATGTGGTCTTCTGCCCAGATTACTCAACCCTGTGAGTGGGCAGTGTGCCAATAAAACTTTATTGACAAAGCCATCTGTTGGGCTGGGCAGGACCTGTGGGCCAGTGGTTTGTCAACCCCTATGTCAGAGAGAGAAGTGGGGATCCTCAGCCCACAGAGACTAAATGCCCACAAGGTCTTGGCTGCTAGGAAATTTTTTTTTTCAAGAATCATCTCAAGGAAATAAAGGTTTATAAAAAAAAGGATTATCTTGACGGATCTTCTACCTTTCTAGGCCTTTGGGGTTTGGGCATTTGGGGCAGACAGGAAACTGAGTCCCTAATAAGTGTGCAGCCTGAGCTCACGCCATGTCCCCCCATCCCCATACGCAGGCCTTTCCTTCTCTCTCCAAAGGAAAATGGGAAGCGAACCAGAAATGAGCCTCTCCTTTTTTATTTTAAGTTTTTTAAACCATGATTTATTTCCCAGTCCCCTGGACCCACAGAATTAATCCAGTTCCATGGTTCCCACCCCCACATCCCCCCTTTGGAGTGCCTGCTGTCCAGCCCACCCGAGCAAGCTGTCTCCCAGGGTGGGAAGGACCCCCTCGGCCTCATTACAATGAACAGAGAACCCCTGGCTCGCAAACCCCGGCCCTCCAGCCAGGAGGCAGACAAGGCTGCTGGCTCGGGGCTGGGAAAACGGAGACAGTGAGATGGGGTGAAGGAGCAAGAGGCAGGCGCGGCCAAATGAGCAGCTGTGACTGACACAAACCAACTGCTTCCTGCCCTCCCAGTTGTCTCTCCCTCCCTCCCTCAGTCTCCTCGAGTGACAGAACCAAGGGCCCTACAGAGCCGGGTCACGGAGTCTGGTGGAAACCGGGGGGCGGCGGGGCATCAGTCCGGGGATCTGCACCACTGATTTTGCTGAGAACTAGCTGCATGGCCTTGGGCAAGTGGCCTGACTTCTCTGGGACCCAATGCTCACATCTGTGGAATCAAGCATTTGGGCCCAGAGTCTCCAAGGCACTTACCTCTCTGATGTTCTCTAGACTCTTCCCGCAGAAACGTGCCCGGCTCCACACTGCGCGTGCACCGCAGCGGAAGAGCCTTTCCAGAGAAACAGGCCGCTGTGCCAGGGAAAACCTCTTGAGCACATGCTCAATATATGGAAACTCAAGGAAAAAAAAGCAAATAATCCCGGAGGTGCAGAGGACGGAGAACTGGAGCAAGAATTTATTTTCATCTTGATCCTTGTGCTTACTCTGCCTCCCGCCCCTTCCCCCCTTATCCCCCCCCCCCCCCCCCCCCCCCGCCCCCCTCCCGAGATTCTGGGCACTGAGCAAATATCTGAGCCTCCTCTCCCTCTGTAACAGGAGGGTGCAAATCACGATCTTGTCTTCTTGGCAGAGCTGTTGTGAAAGTGAGATGGCCTAATGCCTGTGGAAGGTTTTGGAGGGGGACCCAAAGGGGCGTGGACGACAGGGGCAGAGCTGGTGACTAAAGGAGTGTGCGCCTGGCAGACGGGATCCCTCCGCTGCCATCCCGATCACCGCTCTTGGCTTGCAAGACCAGTGAGAACTTAGGCCCAGAGAAAACCAAGTGCCTGTACCTCCTGGCCAAATACAGCTGAGGACACTTGGAGGCGGAACCTGATTCTCGTCAGGCACCGGTGATTATGAAAGTCAAAGAACCATCCTACAGGTGCCGCTGATGTTAAGGAAGTCTTAGAGCACTAGTTAAGTATACAATTTTACCTATATGTTCCCCAAAATTCTAGTTTAGCACTTCTTAGTTGGGATTCAGGAATCTGTATTTTAACAACTCCACCAGGTGATTCTCATCGTGAGAGAAGTTTGGGAAACATTGAGTAAAAACCCAGCATAGCCCTAAGTCAGGAAAGAGACTCTTATTGGTTCACTAGAGGCCCGGTGCATGACATTCATGCACTGGGGGTTGGGGTGGGGGATGGAGAGTCCCCTCAGCCCCGCCTGACTGATGGATACCCTTAGTGCTGCCACAGACATGGGAGAGGTTCCCATCACTGCTGCGGGGCTCATCAGCCATCAGCCTGGCTTGTGGCTGAGCAGTGCTCCCCCTATGGGAGGCACACCGACCATCAGAGCGCAACTCCTACATTGAGCATCTGCCCCCTGCTGGTCAGTGCACATCATAGCAACCGGTTGTTCTGCCATTCAGTCCATTTGCATATTATCCTTCTATTATATAGGTGGATAATAAGATTCCTTTTAGCTTTGAGTAACTCAGGGCAATGAGAACTGGGTTCAATTTACCCAAATCTAGTCTCAAACTATGTTTCCAGGAATCCTTCCTTCCTTGGTGTCAAGCGAGTTCCACCCATCCAAACTAATAAATCCAGAGTGGGCTGAGAGCCCAGGTGGGAGAGACCGGGGTGAGAACAGCCAACAGCACAAACTCCTCAGAGAATGAAAGCAAACCAAGAGCTCAGGGGACCAGGGCAGGGTCACCCTCCTTATCAGCTTACACAGCCCCCGCCCTGGGCTCCAGGGA